TCATGATGTATCAGAAAGGAACGGAATGGAAAGCAGCCATTCCTGAGAGAGTGCATGGAATACTCATTTAGGAAAAGACCCTTGTGGTTTAGCTTCTGTAAAGTGAAAGAACAGAGGTGAACATTTTTATATTTTATATTATATTTATATTATTTTATATATTTTATATTATATATTTTTATATTTTTTATATTTTATATTTGATATACTCCTGGGGCAGGGAGTATAGAAGTCAGTTTGAAATATTAAACATGGGGGGAGAAGTTTCTTTGGTGGAGTACATTATATCAGTCAAACATACATGCTACACTAATGTGGTCAGACGTGTGATCATGTGCAGAAATCACAGCAGCAACAGAGCTCGGGCAGCCTCTTGCAAAATGTGACAAATGATTAAACTGTCCAGCCTGGGTCATGACTAGTTGTGATTCTGACTAGTAAGTATATTCACTTTTCCAAGGTCTGGTAATAACTCTTAGGGTTTCAGGGTGAGCATTTCCAGGGCTGTATTAGGAGGGATAGACTTGGGCTACACTGGTAACAGTCACACAAATGACTGCATGGCCCCCTCCAGGAAATACCATCCACACCTTTAACCACACTTAAATAACATCAAAACTGGACTGAAGCAAATGGATCAATTACTACCCACAATATGTCTCCAAACATGGATCCATCCCACAGCGTCCCAGCATGGTGGGATAGACATCAAGATTGCCACTACTAATCCTCTTTCATCTTCCCTAGAGAAATTCTCTGCCACAAGGGAGCCCATCTCTTCACTGCCCTTGCATATCACAGGGCTGTTCTGAGACCTCAGGGGCTGCTTTCTCCCAGCCTGGCATGAAAGTGGTGAAACATTTAAACGAGAGAGCCTAGTGGGAGAAAGGATTTGGGGAAAGCCCTTTGTGGGGATACTGGGTTCCTTGCCCCTTGTCTTTTGCTTCTTGGCCACCATGAGTTGAGCAGTTTCTGTCACCATGTGCTATCACCACAAAGTGCTGCCTCACCACAGGCCTAAGCAACAGGGCCAAGCAACCATGGACTTCACGAAACCTCTAACCATAATGAATCTTTCCTCTTCGTAAGTTGCTTACTTCAGGTACTCTATCACAGTGACAAAAAGCTGATGAACACAGGAGGCCTTTTGATACAGAGGTTCCAGTGATCCAAGGATGGGTAAAAGGAAAAGATAATTTTCCTCCCTTACCTCTGAATAGTCCCAGATAACTTCCCCATTTGAAAATCCTTGATGTAATCACGACTGCAGAGTCCCTTTTGATACATAAGGGACACATTCATAAGTTCCAAATAGCAGAGCAGACATTTTTCGGGGACCGTATGCTGTGGAACACCAGTAGAGACCTGTGACTGTATTCAGACAAAATCAACAAAAAGAGGATGGGTTTATTTTAGCTCATGGTGCAGCTATTTCAACCCATGGTCTCTTGGCCCTCTGCTGCCTTTGGGCCTGTTCCAGGGTGGTATATCCAGGTGGAGAGCATGTGACAGAACAAAGATGATCACTCTATGGTGGCTGGGAAGCAGAGCTGAAAGATGGGCCAGGCCACACCCCCAGGGACCTAACTTCCTTCCAGTAGGTAACCCCTCCTAACAGCTCCACCACTTCCTTATAAGGCCATGGGTTGATGACCCAATCTCTATTGTCTAAAAATACAGGGGACATTAATGAAACACACCAAGTTGGGTATGAGTTTGAGGTTGTCCTGGGCTAATATTTGTGATACATAATGAGTTCTAGGCCATTCTGGGCTGCAGAATGAGACCCTGTCTCAAAAAAAAAAAATTCAATTAAACAATTACTATCTCCAGGCCTGGAAGAGGCAGAAAGAAAATGGTTTCCAGAATATAAAGAGCGTTGTGGAGGGAAGGCAGGGCGGTAAGAGGCCCTGGTGGTGGTAACAAACATCAAAGTTTAATCTCTTCCTACTTTGCAGATTATTTCTGAGATTATCTGATTTAAAGCAGAAGCTACGTAACATAAGCATACACTTGACTTTGGGGTCTTGGAAGGAGAGTTACTCCACCTGTAACCAGAGGAGAGTTAAGAGTCTAAACTCCAGAGCCAGGTTGCCTGGGTTCAAGTCCAAGTGCTGCCGTTTCCTGGCTAGGGGACTCGTGGACAAATTATTTCAGCTCTCAACATCCCTCTCTGTAAAATGACAATAAGAGCGCCTAACTCATAGGGTCGCTGTGAGAGTTTAATGAATTGGCATTCATGGGGTACTTAGCGCAGCTAATAGTGAGTGCTATTGTTATTATGCTTTAGAGAGGTTGAAAGTGGATTTCAATGAGAGCCCTCTTCAAGCTGCAGACAGAGAAAACAGAAATGGTTTCAAAGTAGAAGCTATGAGGTCAAACACTGAGAACCGCAGGTTCTCATTTCAGACCACCTGTTTCTTATAGCATTGGGCAAAGCGACACGGGCTCCCTCCAGAGTGTGGAGCAAATTGAATTTACATATTTAAGAAGTCCAGCTGGAAAGGCCAGTGAATGTCCAAAAAACAAATCTGTCAAATTGAATCAAAGCAACAGCTCTGTGGTGTATTAAAATGTCTTCACAAAGTCTTTGATGCTCCTGACTTACAGAGATGAAACCTAATCCCCCGTGACACACAGACCCTGGGAAGTGGCTGGACTTAGGACATACTTCTAATGAACGAAATAAATAGAGGTGACAGTGTGCAGCTTAGGGAAGAACATCATAAAAGACACTGTGGAATCTCTGCTTCTTCCCTCCATCAGTGTTCTCTAGAGAAACAGAACCAACAGGGTGTGTGTGTGTGTGTGTGTGTGTGTGTGTGTGTGTGTGTGTGTACACAAATGGAGGGTACTACCCAAATTCAGGAAAGGTCTCCCCCACTGTGGTTCACTGACCCACATGTCAATCTTCCCTAGAAACATCCTCACAGACACACTAAGAAAGGATGTTTCACCATTAACCTAGGAATCAATCAGCCCAGTAAACATACACCCAGAAACAAACCACTATACTTACTCTGTGGAAATAAACAGCCATGTCCTAAGGACTCTCGGGAAGCCTACAGGAACCTACACTGGTGGGCTGGGGGGATGAGGCCTCTTGCCAACAGCCATGGAAGTAGACCATCTTGAGTTCTTGAGTGCCTGAGTGCAGATTTGACCAAGTCGGGCTATCAGATGATGGACGCCCAAAATATCTGACCCACACATTGTGAGAGACCCAGAGCCATAGCCACGTGGCTGTGTGCTCAGATTGTGACCATCAGAAACTGTATGATAATAAAGGCTGTATAAATCACCAAGTTTGGGTTCCTTTTGTTACACAGCAATAGAAAACATGTAGGAACTCAAAAAAACAGTCTAATTCTTTTACCAGAATCACCCGAAAGTTAGTTTTAACATCATGTGTATGTGCCTGACTGTACACATCAGACAGAGAGGGTTTACAAAGATATTTTGTGTATCACCCCCTGAGAACAGGGGGAGGGTAGTGTATCTTAGGAGTTACTTCCAAAAGTCTTCCAGAGATGAAAGACATATCTTGCATGGGTAATATGCCATTTTTACATGTGACCAACAGACTTTTTGCTGTCTGTTAAACATCTTAACAAAGACAAGAGAATCTTTTCCTAATTCCTTTTTAAATAAATTACTTGTCTAACGGTTTAATTGCATTTTTCTGGCAATGCCCCATACACATACACACATAAATTTACGTGGAGCTAAAGCTCATGCACCCAGCCTCAATTGATTACTGATACATAGTGAACTAGTAATAGGTTTGCTGGGTCATCATCTTGACAAAGAAGAAGAAGCAACATTGTCTCTTTATTCAGAAACCTATAGCATAGCCAATAGAACATAGTAGTGTAGGGACTGTAACAGAGAAAGATTCTAAGACTGTTGGAGGGCAGGGAGACTGTGGAGGCATTCAAAAAAAGAGTTTTTTTTAAGTCGAGAAGTGAATGCGACTTTTTTGATGGATTTTTGTAGCAGCTTGAGGGCCATTACATTTGCCCTGGGTAGAAAACAGAAGATGGGGTGTGGTGCTTCTAATCTGCAGCATTATACAACGCCTCATGGACGGTTCAACAAAAGCATCAAATAATAACAACTGTAATCTGAGACATCCACAGAAGCCCTGAACACCCTCTTGGTTCCTATGAAAGGCAGACGTTGAGAGCACTCTTTGGCAGGTGAGGTCACGGCCAACATTTCTTCCCTGGGCATAATTTGTTCAAGGTTGATCTGATAGGTGCATGACACAATCCCCGACAGAAGCCAGCAGAACTCACATAACAGGTGTGGATTTCTATAGCAGTAAAAGCCTCAGTGCTTATTCACCAGCCAGATTTATTTATGGGGGATGGGATAAGGAAAGGATTTCCCCACAGGATATGCAGAGATTACTGTGCTTTGTCAACAAGTGTTTACATTAGTCAGGTCTTGGGTTCCTTATTATAGAGCAATAGTGCTTGCCAGCTAAGAACACACACACAGAGAGAAACAAAATCAGATGACCAGTGGGCATCTGTCTACCACTCTGAAGTGCAGCTGTCACTTTTTAAAAGCCCACAAGCATGTTTTTAATATTTTTTATCAACTCTTTGAGAATTTCATGCCATGTATTTTGATCACATTGACCCTCAACTCCTCCTCCTATCTATAGGAGTAAAAGCCTCAGTGTGCACCCTCACTCCCCACCCTCTCCCATATACCCATATATATGCATATGGCCCAATGAGTCCAATTTATGCTGCCCATATACTCATGGGTATAGGGCCCTCACTGGGGCATGGCCAACCTACCTAGGGTCACACCCTGAAAGAAAACTGACTCTCCCTCCCCATAAAGCTATCAACTGTCAATAGCTCCTCTCAGTTAGTGGTGGGGGCTGGTGACCTCCCCCATGTTAAAATGTTGGCTGGCTTGATCTTGCACAGGTCTTGTTCAGGCAACTGTAGTTGCTGTGAGTTCCTAAGAGCAGTGGTCCTGTCGAAAATATGAGATACTTCCTGAATTTGCAGGTCATCCTTGTGCTGGGGCATGCTAATCTTCTCTGTACCGCTCCAATCTTAGTATGTATACTGCTGAAGTGAGCACCTAGGAGCATATTTTAACTGCATGTTACATTGGTTCTTTCACAATGAAAGAGTTCAAGGCCTACCTGAACCTTGGGCATATGACCAAGAAGGGAGAATTTCTTTCATTTGATACTGTTTCTACCTGGATCCAGTCATTTGGTGATTTCCTGAAGCTTCATAAGCCCAAGCTGTGGGCTTCACAAGCTCAGGAATGTGTTCATTAAGAATCTACTCATCTAAGCTTTAAGACATAACCGGATGCCCACGGGCCTCTTGAATAATAAGTGAGAGCAAGGACAAGGCCACTCCAGCAGGCTCTGCAGATAGCTGTTCTCTATTCCATGTCTAGAGCAAGGCCGAAGCCTCCAGATGAACTGTGGAAAGTCATCCCCTCATCTGGTCTGGTTGGTGCCAAACATCTGGATGTTATATAATAAGTCATTTGGGCTTGTTTTTCTTGCTCTCTTAAAAATAATCCTGACAATTAAATCTGGGTTTGAAACTCCAAATTTCATGTAGTTTCCGTAAGGTTGTTGTGCAGTCTGGTCTCGATGATTTTTCTTTTCCACTCAAAGCAATGCAGGCACCATCAGAAGAGAAAGCATGGAGCTGGAGTTGACATTTGCAGGTAATCCCCGAGCTTTCCCCAGGTACCGCAGATGGCCATTTTTTCTGGTCACAGGACCTTACAACAGCAGAAATGCTAGCATGCTAATGTTTACAGGCGTTGATGGCCTATACTTTAAAACAAACTTACCAAGCCCCATGGCCTGGTTTTACCCAAAAGTGAATTACAACAAAACACAAGCAATTTCTTTTAGTTTCATTCCTTACAATTTTTGATAAACACCCTGAAGCAGGACGATGGACTCTCAGGTTCTCAGTGTCTTTAGGTCACAGCTTGATTAAAAGGCCACCAAGCTCTTGGTCAAACATGGCGCACAGCCATGAGGAAAGAGCAGTGTGTTTCTAACTCTGCCACGTCCTCTGATTGCCCTGCTCCTTGCTACTTTCTTTTCTGCTTCTTGGTTGCTCCTATGGCTTACTTAACGCCATCCACTCTCCCTGTGAAGCGATCACATGGGCAGAATCAGCAGTGCATGTGTACACATCTGCCTACCTCAAGCATACTTTAATGGCAGGCACGGTCTCTCCTTGAGGGAAGCATCATCTCCACATGATTGTGGAGAAACTGAGGTTCAAGAAAACTAAGAGTCAAGAGTAGTGGTCTATAATCCTAGGAATCAGGAGGCTAAGACAGGGGGACTATAAATTCCAGGTCAATTGGAGCTACACAAGACAGATCTGTCCTTCCAAAACAGAAGGGGGGGGCAGGGATTGAGGAAGGAGGAAGAGGAGGAGGAGGAAACAGGAAGGAGGAGGAGGGAGGAGGAAAGAGAAGGAAAGAGGAGTGGCCTTAGTTGAAGAAGATTAAATATTTGCCTTTTACTTAGTTGGGCTGGGACTTAATTTGTCTTTCAGTAGAAATGACTGTAAAATATCCATTACGATTTTGGCTTTTGATACTACATTTTTATTTATTTGTGTGTATGTATATACACGTTCATATGCCATAGCATGTATGTGGAGGTCAGAGGCCGACTTGAGGGAATCTGTTGTCTCCTTCTGCCGTGTGGGTTCTGGGTACTGAAATCGGGTTGTCAGGCTTGGTGGCAAGCGCCTTTACCTCTGAGCCATCTTCTAGACTCAGATCTTGTCTTTTGGAGAAAGCAGAATTGGGTGCATATTTGAACTCTGTCACTGTGTAACTTTGGCAAATTGTTCAGTTTCTTTACACCTCATCTGTAAAATGAAAATGACATGAACGTCTCCATAAGGTTTTGTGATGAGTAACAAGTGTCAAGCACTTGACTTAATGAATGGCTTGTGCAGTCTTGCTGATTATTAGCTCTCCTAATTATCCACCAGACTTGCCCTGTCTCATAGCACAGCTTCCACAAGAACATTCCCACCTTTTGCTGTTAGGCTCTAAACAAAATAGTTATTCTGTACTCCGCTTCAAGTTATAAGAACCCAACAAAGAGTTACTGAACCCCAAGAGATTTTGGTTGTCATTCAACAGGAATTATGAAAGCAGATGGTCCTAGTACAGGTTTGGAGACTTAATGATGTCATCAAGGAATCAGATTTGTGTTGTATTCCTCATGATTCAAAGATGGCTGCGTCAGCATCAGATGCTACACCCTAACATGACAAAACAGAGATGAAGAAAAGAGAGAATTTTCTCTGTATGTTCCTCCCTCTTATTAAGAAGGAAAATCATTCTCAGATGCTTCCAGAATTCACCTTATGTTCCCACAAAGTAGTTACACATGTAACTCTAAACTTGTGTAAGGAAAGAAGACTGATAAAGCAGTTTAGATCAAAAATCTGAAGACGTTTCTATAAAAGACCAAATAATAAATAATTTAGTTTTTCTGCCTATACGGCCTCAATTTTCTCCTGGAAGGAAAACGGCCATAGACAATAAGGAAACAAGTGTGTCTGGGTTCCAATAAAACTTTATTTTCTCAAAAAGTTGATAAACTTGGCCACTCCATGCCTTAGACTAACTATGGTGTTACTGAGTACATAGCTTTCTTGTTTAAGGTTAGATTTGATTAGTAAAGAGCGCGGAGTAACTGCATGATAGGCATGCCACAGAGATGTTGCTCCTGGAAAAGCGGAAAAATTTGAAGTTGTAAGAACCTGCTACTGATAGAACCATCAAGAAGGTAGGAACTACATCTACGTACCCAGACATGCAAAAGAACATGCTATCCAGGGGGTGGGGGGTCCTCTGGGTGTACACTCGTGGTTCAATTCAGAGTGCTTTGGAAGAGCCCTGGGTTCCTCAGAAGTGCCTGGCACGTGTGAGTGAGGAACCACACAGAGGGAGAACGCCCTAAGTCCTCTTCCCTGTAAGTTTAGCCAGGGACAGGCATGTTGTGTTTCTATTTAAGGCTTGGAGAATTTACAAGGAAGAGGAGGGTACAAGGGAAACCGGTGATGGTTGCAAAAACAACAACAACAAAACGAAACTCGCTGGCAGAGACGATAGAGCTCATATTCCCCTAAAACACCCTTTCTAATTCTATCTCCTGTGATTCAACCAAATACTTGCAGCCTGGGAGATGCTCCGTTCATGGTTCTCATGACATACTGCAGCATATGTGCCCCCACTTTCTCACTTCTACCAGCTCTGTAGCTTCTTACTCTGATTTGATAGTAAATTCCTCCAATATACATGAAGCTTCCTGGCATTCTAAAAGTCTAGTGTGTGTGTGTGTGTGTGTGTGTGTGTGTGTGTGTGTAAACATTTTATTACTTTTTATGTTATGTATTTGAATGTACTGCCTGCATGTGTGTAAGTGCACCCTTGTTGTGCAATGCCCAAGGAGGTCAGAAGAGGGCCTCACATCCCCTGGAACTGAGGTTGTCAGCCACCATGTGGGTGCTGGGAATCAAACCCAGTCCTCTGCACGAGTAGTCAGAGCTCTTAACTGCTGCGCCATCTCTCCCTCCTGGTGTGTGCAAGGTACTAAGTTACACACTTGGTGTGAAACGGAACATAGAAAAGTAGAATATGGAGCCTCTTTCCTCATTGTCTGACTGCACGGAGCTTAGTAAATAAAGATTCAGTTTCAAGTGCACAGCATGATTAGAAAGTACATCTTAAAGAAACAAAACAAAACAGAAATATACTTCCAAATGAGTTTTATCCTGAACTGATCCCTTTGGAAGACATGCTTCCCAGGATGGCTACCTTTGCACAGCAGGATTTTCCTATTTGGAATTACACTTAGTTTCAGTTTTTCAACCACATCAGAAAATCAGTCCAATTTGGTTAGAACGGACCCTATTTCATTTGACCAAAAATGGTTTCTCCTAGTTTGACTGCTAGCTTTTACGCCGGGCTTCAGATTCTATCAGGGTGGCTCCAAAGAGCCACTTTCAAAAGAGCAGCTACTGCAGCAAAGGAGTGTGACAGACAGGTCTCGGGTCTGAGGGGATTCTGAAGGAGAATTATCTAGGGTGACCACCATGCTGCAGCCTCCACTGGACCCCTGAAACATGCTGAAGCAGGGGGCATTCCATCTGTTGGCATGATCAGGGAAAACTGGCTAGGGAAGGCTGGAAGTGGGCCAGGTTTGGTCAAGAATAGGAATAAGAATTCAGCATCAGCCATGGAAAGTACTTATACTCCACAGCCAGACCCTGAAACCTGGATTCAAATCCCAATTTCGCTATGTATTAGCTGAAAAACTCAGTAGTTCCTTTTTAAATTTAATTAATTTATTAATTTATTATTTATTTATTATGTGTATAAGGGTTTTTGTTTGGATGTACATAATCACACCTATGCCATGCACTTCCTGAGGAGACCAGAAGAGGGCACTGGACCCCCTGGAACTAGCGTTATGGATAGTTGATAGCTGCCATGTGGGTGCTGGGAACCAAACCTGGGTCCTCTGCAAGAGCAGCCAGTGCTCTTAACCAGTAAGCCATCTCTCCAGCCCCTTAGTCAAGTTTCTTAATGCCTGTGGCGCTCAGCTTCCATGGCTATGAAATGGGAATAAGAAGACTGTAATCTCTCAAGGATATCACAGGCACTAAGTGAGCTAATAATGCAGATATGACTCTAACCATAACTGCTATGTCTGCTATTACCACCCAGGCCCAACAAAATCTCACTGAACAGCCTTCCTGGTCAATCCCAGGCATCTGGGAATTGTCTCATTGTTCAGTTCTTACAAAGTATAATCCAAAGTGAGAAACTTGACCATCTCATCCCACCATACCTGGAGGCTGGCTTAGGTTTGTGAGCTGTGGTTGGAACAGGCCCCTTATCAGTTTGTGTTCAGTCTTCCTTTGCCTTCACTAATCTCTGGCTTGTAGTTCAGACCTTGTTTTAGACTTATTTAAGCTGCTGTAACAAAATACCTTAGGCAAAGAAACTTAATAAAAGGCAGAAATTTATTACTCACTGTTCTGGAGGATGGGAAGTTAAAGATCAAG